TGCTTTCAATTTTTGATAATTTTCACCAGCTAAGAGAGGAGCTGCGCGAGGAAACTCTTCAGCTTGCAAGTAAGTAACATAGATTTTTTAAAGACTTTTCTGCTTGCCTTTCCTTCTAAGCATTTCTCTATGGGACAAATCTCAACCATCATTTTAACTTGAAAAGGTGAGAACATGGAAAAGGAACCACGCATCATGGAACTTAGAAACCAGGTATGGGTTTATCAGAAAATTACTTATTTCTCTTGCTGGTTGAATTCACTTGCCCTCCGTGCTGAACTCCGCCCTCCTGTTCATTCTCTCACAGTGCAGAATAATCCGGACAACTGAACTGGCTGCTGCCGAGGAGAAGCTGAACGAGCTTGACCGAAAGAAAAAAGAGATCTTGAACCTCTGTTCTCCTGCTTCACTTATCCGAAGGCTTCAAGGTATATTGTAGTAGTTGTTTATTGGATTTCTGATTTTGTTATCATTGATAATTACCGGCTAGGCTTGAATTCAAGGCTAGGGAGATTGGGCATACATATCCTTCCAACAATCATTCCTATCTCTGTTAATGAGTAGAGTAGTTTAAAGGATCCCTTGTAACGTTCCAACTAGAGGCTAGTAAGACGTTCATAATTTCATAGATAGTAAGAAGAGGTCATGAGTTTGGAACTTGTTTTTGAGAATGAATCTTCAAAGCTCAGGATTGAAAATTTTGTTCGGTTAAAATTGTTTTCAACACCGTTTTTACAAAAGAAAACGTTATCGAACAAGTCTACTTCCGAAACTGATAGCTGAAAGGAAGTTCTTTGTATAATTAGAAAAGAAGTAAAATTTTATTTCTCCTGTTCTGCATTTCGACACACCACAGAATTCTCCATTACTTGATCTGGTCTTGAATCCAAACTTTGTTTATGCAGAGAGAATGAAGGAGACTGAAGAGGAGTCGGACAATCTGCACAGACAGCTCCTTGACAGAGAGATAGATTTGGGTTCTTTTACTCACAAATACAAGAAGCTGCGTATGGATTACCACCGGCGAGCTCTCATCCAACTTGCTGCTACCACCACCTGAGCTGAACTGCAGAACATCGATAGCGACACTGATCATGTAAATTCTTACTCTTTTACTGCTTATGCAACTGCTACAAACACTTCTTCAAGTAGAGGTTGAAATCATTTGAATCCCAGATGGGGTTTTTACCAGTTGTTTCCCTTGTGAAAGTCTGTTCGTTTTACTGATGACAGTAACTTGATTCTTTGTTTTCATTTTGATGATCGTTTTTTCTCTTTGTAATAATCATTGTAAAAAATGATACCCGTTCACTTTTACTATTCATATCCTCATACTTTACTTGCACTTTATAAGTTAAAATATATTCTATCTTGGTTCATATATTTCTATGATCTTTCTATTTTGGTCCCTATATTTTTACATTATTATATAGTTTCATCCATCATATGATACGCTAATTAAACTGTAAAATGTTGTATTAATGATAGATATTCATAAGAATCCTAATCAAAAGTTAGAACAGTACATTTTACTCGATGAGTACAACATTAATTTCTTTCAACCTAATTAAAAATCATGAAGTGAAAAATGGGTAAGACTCAAAACCCACAATCATATGTGAACATTTTTAAACGGTATAAACTAGATAAGCACTGCAGATATACGGATTTGATACAAGACGACGGGCAGTCATTTTTTATATGCCAAAAGAACTTTCTTTTCTTTTTTATGTGACGGCTAGAACAGTTCTTCTGTCTGTAGAGACATGAATGCTGGTTCAATGGTTCTGACCTGGCAAAGCGAAACTGGGGCGGTGGATTGCAAAGAGGAGAAACAGGTTGTCTCATTCTACAAGACGATCCAGTTCTTTCTCCCATTTCAATCCAGACATTTGGCGGCCAAAAGGAACTATTAAGTTATACCGAAAAACCTGCAAATGGAAACTGAAACTATGTTTACTACACCTTTGCAGAATGGTCGTGGAATAGAATGCTAAATCAGTTAAAAGCACAAATTAACTAAAAGGTTAGACGTGTCAATGGTTATGATATATATCGATGTTTAATCTCCCAACCCCATTTGGGCTTAGGGTTAGGATATAAATCTTCAACTAAGAGGTTAGACGTTTAGAAGCATAAGCTATAATCTTTTATACGCATTAATATGAAAAAGGCACTTCCCCACACTAGAACCTTAAATCCCAACAAGCAACCATTAACTTGCTAGTTGCTTCCCAGCCGCCCAGTTGAAGTTGGGAGGTTTAAGGAATTGTTGAATTCACCAACTTCCGGTGAGAAACGAAGAACCTGATACTGAATTAGAATTTAGAACCCAACTTTCCATTATTAAGAATCAGAAAACTGATAACTGACCTTGTCATTGATGTGTTGCAATTGCACTTTCAAAGCCTCTGAACTCTCAGTCCATTTTGAAAGATCTTCATTGCCCCTACTTTCAAATGCTTTCTTCAACGATGATCGCCACACAGATATATTGCTCCTAATCTCTTTGTTGAGCTCAACCCATTCTGGTGCACATCCATTTTTCGACAAGATTCGGTACAATGTGTCTTCTGCTGGATCAGCATGGGGATTAGTAGAGAGATTCAGAGGTTTCCCTTTTCCTGGTAAGTTCTCGAATTGCCCTTCTTCCATGGAATTCCAAATCCTCCTCTCAACAACATTTATCAGATCAGTTTCTGACCTATCCAAAATATTCTAGCCAAGTCAAAACAACAGCAGGTGAAAAGCAGAGATCTACAATAAAGTGAAATGTAAAAGGCTTATCTCAGTGAGGATGAACATAACCAAAATTAAACAAAAAGTTCGTCTAATTGAAGATGACAATAACTTAAACAAAATGTTAAAGAAGGTAAAGATGAACCATATAATTGAAGATGACAATAACTTAAACAAAATGTTAAAGAAGGTAAAGATGAACCATAGATTTACACAGAAATTAGGCATATAGGCTCAAGCATGATAGGATTAGGTCTGTAATTCGTGGCTATATTAATAGCAAAATGGACATCTAAGGGTTTTTTTTTCCTCTTCTCTTTTTGACAGAGATGGAAGCATTGCTAATTACTTGCTGAATTTTGGTAGACAATTTAATACCTACGAAGTTTCAAACATTCGAATGGCAGTGTGTGACAGTGAATTACATGAAGGGGAATAATCAATCTCCAGAAAAAAGCGTTTGTTCTCTTGCTATAATAATCTTCACATAGAATGAGGAATGCAGAAGTAATAAAAACACGAGCAAATTTGTAATAGAATAGAAACTCTGTTTCAGAAATTAGCTAATTCTCAACGGAACCTAAGCATAAAGATCGCATCAGGAAAGTCGATTAAGGAGGAATTAATCTGAGAGCGCAAACCAGATATGCAGGTAAGTGAAATGGAGTAAAGCGAGGAGGACCTGACAGAGTTACGCTGGCCTCGAAACTCCGGAGGGAGTTTCCGGTCATTGACGGCGTCTATCACCGATGAAAGACGGTCCACGAACTTCTTCTCCGTTTTCTGCGACTTACTAGGCGGAGAAGACGAAGAAGAAGAAGATGATGACGACGACGATGAGGCCCACCTTCGCCTAGATCTGATGAGAACGGCCATCGGCGAATAATCGTCGGCCGATGATCTGGATGTTAGGGACCAGAATAGCTTCGTCCTCGGAAGGCGGGTCGCCATGGCGGAGAATCGAGCAAGGGGAGGTCGGAAAGCTTTCCCCAAATGGAATTTGTCAGAGATTGGCCAGCTACGTGGCCACAACAGCGGTTGAAGTTTTTCCACGTCGCCTCTTAATACCATGCCACGTATTATCAAAGAACACGTCACTACTATATATATATATATATAATGTTAATTTTTAATTAAATTACAAATTTATTTCATGCTACTTTCAATTTTCTCTCAACTAAAAAATTATTTAATACATCCCACATCGTCATCTTCTTCATCGCCCCAAGCACGTTAGGGCACCGGTGTAACTACCGGTGACGCCGGACTCGAGCCGGCGGTGACAGTGGGGGCGGCAACGGACGACGCGGCCCCGGTGGCAGAGTCTGGAGCTGCGGAACTTACCATCGGTGGTTACAAGTCATTTTCGGTTGCCGCCAGCTGCCTTTAAATACTGCACTTCTCTGAGCGAAATTGGTCAACTGCCGCCGGTCCGGCCCAACTTTCTGAAGCCCGGCCCACAAATTATTAACTGAATTACGGTTGAAAATTACGGTTGAATTTCATATATATTGTTTTCTTTAATGTAATTTTACCACTAACCCCTTGTCCATGCATATTTGCATTATGCCTTAATAATTTGTTTTAAAATTCTAATTTGAGTTTATTTTCAAATCATTATTAATTATTAGTTTGGAAAAATTTTCATCTTACAACTTTTATTCAATACATGTTGGTCCTACTCGACCCGACTAAATGAATAATATTCTCCTCATAATGCTAATTAGGAACATGTAGAAGTTTCACACGTGTTATTATTGTTCAATTTCTACCTAAACCCTCGTGATTTTGCTATTTGTTTCACTAAAAAAAATCTCATATATTTTTTAAACACAACTGAGAAGCTTCGAACTAACTGATCCCGAGTTGCATAGTTCACTAATAGTATTTAAATGTTTATATTTTAGTATTATGAGTTAAAAAGCTTCAAATCTTTATATTTTATATTTGTTATGTGATAAAAAAATATAAAGATTATTATAATATAGACAGAAATAGAATAAATAAATAAAAAAGTTGAAATTCAATTATTTTAAAATGTAAGAAAAGTATAAAAAAATTCAACAAATAAAATGAGATTTATTTACTTTTTGACCATAGATTTAAGAAAAAGTATTTTTCGCTCTAAAATGAGATGGATTAAAGCGAAAGGGCTAATTTCGTCTTTTCACGCTCATTTTCGAGTGCCGGTGGGGTCTGTAAGTAAATAAAGCTCGAGCAGATCCATGGCGGTTTTGAGAATTAAGCTTTAATAAACCGAACTTCTTAGTTAATTCAAATCCAAAAGTTTTCTTCCTACTGTTGTTGTTGTTGCTCTCTCTCTATTTCTCTTTCACTGCAATGTGCAGGAACAAACCCATAACTCGATCTTTGTTCATGAGTCTTCCTATCTGAGAACTCAAAATCCACAAAATTCCATTGAAATGCGGGCCCTCACTTCCTTGATCTTCGCTTTAGTATCCGTCGTTTTGTCGGCGACGGTGGTCTACTCCGGCTTCCCCGTCCAACGTCTCTCTCTGCAGAGAGCCTTCCCTTCATCTCGCTCTATCGAACTTGAAACTCTCAGAGCTCGGGACCGTCTCAGGCATGCCAGAATCTTGCAAGGTGTCGTCAGTGGCGTCGTCGACTTCTCAGTCGAAGGTTCTTCCGATCCGTTGCTCGTCGGGTAACTCCTGCTCCTCCACTGAATTTTCTTTAATTTTTGTTGTTTTTAGCAGTTTGATGTGTTCGATAATTCTCTAGACTAGGATTATTGTGGTTTTCTTGGCTTTTGGTTCGATTGTTTGGAATCGCTTTCTGTGTTCTGTGGCATGTTCGTTCCTCTGATGCTCTGTTAAGCGGCTGTTAGGTTGTTCATGAGAGAGAGCTTTGGGAAATGGACTAAAGAAAGCGAAAGAATGATTGTCGAATTGATCTTATTGACTGAAAACTGGAAAAATGCTTTATATTTTCCTTTTCCTTTTCTTCTGTTGTTCCAACAGCGAAATAATAGTAAATGCTACTTCAATTCTTTATTTGGTTCTTCTTGTTCTTCTTTTGATTTAAATATTTCTTGTGGATATGCTACTTTACACACGCCGTGAGTTAAAGCAAATATAGCCGTTTGTTTTTTTGGCGGTCTTCTTACATTCTTACCTTTCAGAATTCTATGGCTGTTTCTTTTTTTGTTTTGTAATCTCGTTGTTAATGGCTTGTTCAGGCTTTACTTTACCAAAGTTAAATTGGGCACTCCCCCTAAGGAATTTACGGTGCAGATCGACACTGGAAGCGATATATTGTGGGTGAACTGCAATTCCTGCAATGGCTGCCCCAGAGCAAGTGGACTTGGAGTAAGAGTCTTTTTCTTTTACCTCCTCTTTTTGTTAGTTTGAAATTGCCCAATGGCCTCCTTGTTGGAGTTCTTATTTTAGTTTTCCTTGTGCAGATTCAACTAAATTTCTTTGATGCTTCCAACTCATCAAGTTCTTCGCTGGTTTCCTGCTCTGATCCAATATGCAATTCTGCATTCCAAACAACTGCGACTCAGTGTTTATCTCAGACTAATCAATGTAGTTACACCTTTCAGTATGGTGATGGAAGTGGAACATCAGGTTATTATGTATCTGAGTCCATGTACTTTGACATGGTTATGGGGCATTCTATGATTGCTAACTCTTCAGCTACAGTTGTTTTTGGGTGAGTTGGGTGGGAGCAATTTTTTACATATGAGATTGAAAGTTACTTTTTGAATTGCTTAACACACCGTAAATTCGAATGGACTCTATCGGGATGAAGTAGCTATTTTATCATATAAAGGTTTCTATTTGGATGGACTTTCAACTGGTATTTTCTTAGAACTGTCACGTTTACCTCACAGACACGCTAATTTTGTGTAACAGCCCAAGTCCACCGCTAGCAGGTATTGTGAAATCCCACATCGATTGGGGAGAAGAACGAAACATTTTTTATAAGGGTGTGGAAACCTCTCCCTAGCAGTCGCGTTTTAAAAACCTTAAGGGGAAGACCGAAAGGGAAAGCCCAAAGAGGACAATATCAATTAGCGGTGGACTTGGGTTGTTACATTTTGAATTCCGACCGTTGTTTTCTAAGTCATGTACATGAGGAAGAATATGAGGTTAATGTTTGTCTTATCATACCATACACTGAATGTTTTGATACAAAATGTAGTATGTCTACTTCTATGGTCTGAATATATTTCCTTCTACCTCAATCTGTATGCGTTCTACTCTTACATCTTTTGGGAAATGCTAAATGTATCATATTTAAATGCAGTTGCAGCACATATCAGTCAGGTGACTTGACTAAATCAGACCATGCAATAGATGGCATTTTCGGATTTGGCCCCGGGGATTTGTCTGTCATATCACAGTTATCAGCTCGAGGGATAACCCCTAAAGTATTTTCCCATTGTTTAAAAGGAGAAGGAAATGGAGGTGGTATATTGGTTCTTGGAGAGGTTCTGGAGCCCGGCATTGTGTATAGCCCACTCGTCCCCTCTCAGTATGTCCACCTTCATCATTATTTTTCTAAATCAAGAGTTCACCGCTGAAAACAATCAAGTAAAAAAGTTGCAACTTATTTCAAATGTCGGAAGTTACTGAATCCTTTTTTCTTTCAGAGAACTGCCAATCTGAATGTGCTTCTTGCATAATTATTTGTTGATATTAAGTTCCGGATTGCATTAGCTACTTATAAATTTTATTTTGTCACAAATGATTGTACTCTGGTGGTTGTTTTGTTTCACAAGCATCTCCCTTCCAACCTTCCTATAATCGAGAGATGATCTGGGAATCTAGGAGGAACTACGCTTAAACATTCTATCAATTTAAGCATTTTCTTACTGGTTCTAATGTTTCAGATTTTTATTTCACATTTGTGCTTGTGTATGTAGATAGAAAAATGTACAACTGTATGAAAGCTTGACTGTTTCCTCATTTAAAATATCAGGCCTCACTATAACTTGTATCTGCAAAGCATTGCTGTCAATGGTCAGACGCTGCCAATCGATCCATCTGTGTTTGCAACATCAAATAATCGAGGAACTATTGTAGACTCCGGGACAACATTGGCTTATCTTGTGGAAGAAGCTTATACGCCATTTGTCAGCGCGGTAAGTTTCCTTTCCCCATGTCAGAATCAATGTTTTACTGACAAGGGCCTAATGTAAACCAACCTAAACTCTTATTGATGCATTTATGCAACTACTCAACATGTGTTTTGCTTTTGACTTGTTAAGATAACTGCTGCTGTTTCCCAATCTGTGACTCCTACTATTTCAAAGGGCAGCCAGTGTTATCTAGTATCCACCAGGTCTGTCGCCATTTTTAACTGTATTGATCTTTGAGAAGAAAAATGCTGATCTTACTTCAAGAATTGAATGGGTCAAAATTCTCTTCCATGTCCAGTGTAGACGAGATATTTCCCATGGTTAGCTTAAATTTTGCGGCAGGTGCATCTATGGTGTTAAGACCCGAAGAATATCTTATGCATCTTGGCTTTTATGTAAGTTGTGTGAGATTCATTCCTTTGGTTGTATATCATCGACCATGTTGCGATGTTCGATATTGCTCTATCCTTGCAGGATGGTGCTGCATTATGGTGTATTGGTTTTCAGAAAGTTCAGGAAGGAGTAACAATTTTAGGAGGTTAGTCCCTGAACTTGGACTTCTTTTTTGATGTGGGTATCTGCTAGAACTTTTGGGTAATGAAATGCTCCAACTGCTTGTTGGCAAAATCAATTTGCATCTGCTATCAATTTTCAGATTTTTAGAATGAAATTATGCTATTTGTACTCCATTTACAGAAAATGGAGACATTAATTTATCTATGTATTTTTTTATTGGATTTGATCCGTCGGGACTGACGGGGCTTAAACCCGCAATGAAGCCATTAGGCTAAGTCTCCAAAAAAGAGCCACTCACATATATAGATAGGCATTACGGAGGAGCTTCGCTTTGTGCTTCAGGTGGCGCGTTGTAGTAATGAATAAAAAAGAATGAGATTAGTTCGGTCTTCTGTCTTTGGGTGAATGAATTTGGGTATCGAAGTTTTAGTTATTGCCATCCCTTTGCTTGCGATGAGCTTGGTATTGATCTTCCGTCTTTGAATCTCATTTTAATGCCTTCCTCTTGCAGATCTTGTTATGAAAGATAAGATATTCGTATACGATTTGGCACGCCAGCAAATCGGGTGGGCAAACTATGATTGTAAGTTAAAATTCAAGGCTGTGTATAAATCTATACAACCCCATCAAACAACTTCAATTCGAGTTTCATGAAAACAAACTCCATTTCCAGGTTCTCAAGCTGTAAATGTATCGGTCACGTCTGGGAAGAACGAGTTCGTCAATGCAGGACAGCTGAGCGTGAGCGGCTCAACCCAAGATAAGCTCCTTCAATCACTAGCTATAGAAGCATTAGCTCTTTTTCTGAGTTTCATTTTGTTCATCCACTTCCTGTTTCTGATAAGCTCCTTCAATCACTAGCTATAGAAGCATTAGCTCTTTTTCTGAGTTTCATTTTGTTCATCCACTTCCTGTTTCTGTAACTTTCAACTGTGTAGATCTCACTCTTCTCTAATCCCCCATTCTTTGCACCAATTGTCTGCCCCTCCAGTCTATATTTATAATGATTGGTAGTGGCCGTGTTGTGCTATTATTTTTGGACCACGGGAGATGCAATAGGTCAGAAAGTTGAACTTGAAGATATTCTGTTCCACTACTTAAATTGGGCATGTCTTCTTTGGGCTTGAAGTTGGGCCTTCATCTTGAAGATATTCTGTCCCACTACTTAAATTGGGCCTGTCTTCTTTGGGTTTGGAGTTGGGCCTCCATTTGTAAAGGGCTCATATTTTGAGCATGCTAGAATTGTAAATTATGTGCTAGCGAGTTGTAGAGAGGTTCATGGTGATTGTTCTTGATGAGTGATAGCAGAGGTTGTTGTATTTTAGCCTGAGCATTTGAACAAATATATTGCTTTATATATATAATCTAGAATATAATATTCTTACTTTTTAAAAAAGAAATGTATTTCTGCTGATCTTAGTGCATTTTTTTTATGGCTTTTCTTTTAATATTTCTAAAGAGATTAATTAATTTTAAATTTTAAATTAAATTTTGTTTGAATAGAACCTAATAGTAATCCGAGGTAAGGCTAGTACGTCAAGAATCTATTAAACGAGTGTCATTGCTATTACATTCAATTTTGCAAAGAAGAATGAAAAATAATCTTTGTTATACGTATATCCATCGAAAGATAATAAGTGTGAATTGTGGATGTTAAAATAATATATATATATGAGAATGTTTGTATAATTTACCACACCTAAATGGTGTGAAAGTTATCTTATTTATAATCAAATAAATTACAAGAATATGGAAAGAGGGTAAACAGAAATAACAATACAGAGATTCCTATGATAAGGAGGTAAATATCTAGATATTTGTCTTAAATAAAATTTCAAATATGATATATATGGTAAACTAGAATTTATTATTAAATATCCTTAACTATATATATATTTATTTATTTACTTACTTACGTTTATAATTTATTATTAATTTTTGTAATGTATAGTATTCTAAAAAAAGTGTTGAAAATAGATTTTATTTTATTTTAGGTTGAATTGCAAATTTTATTATTGTAATTTAAGAAAAAAAAGGATAAAATTATTTCATTTTATTCTCATGATTTAATAGCATTTTACGGATAGTTTTTATATTTTAATAAAACAGTTTTAAATTTTAATAAGTTATTGAGGCTAAATTATAATTTTATTAAAACTATCGACATATTTATAATTTAAGAGGGAGAAAAATCGGGTCGTCTTAGAAAAAATCGGGTTGGCAGATTTTAATGGTACCCTAACTGGCAACCCCAAATCTCCGATCAAATTCTCTCTTGGTCGGACCCTCTTAAATTCGCTTCTCCGGGGACCTCGATCAACCATAGCAGCTTCCTCTGTCACTGACCGGCGTCGTGACGCATTTGAGTTTCTCTTCCAAGTATGGGTACTCATGGCCGAAGCAGTGAGAGAAAGAAAGAGAAGACGTCATCTTCGAGGAGACGAAGCAGAAGAAGGTCTGACGACTCTGAATCTGATTCCGACGACTCAGATAGCCGGGATTCATCTCCAGTGGCGAGCTCCCGGAAGCGCAGGGAAAGACGCGGTGGTAGCAGGAGTAGTCACCGGAGTAGACGAAGGAGCTCCTCTCGTGGGCGGGATTCTGGAGACGATAGTTCGAATGATAGTTATGGCAGCGATGATGGTGGTCGCAAGAAGAGTAAGTCTTCCAGGAAAGTCACTGAAGAGGAAATTAGCGAATACTTGGCCAAGAAAGCGCAGAAAAAGGTCCCAATGTGGTTTAGTTTTGTTTCTTTTGTGTAATTTGGTTAATTTTTATGAATGTTTCCAAACTAATTTTATGGTGTTTTCGTAATATATTTCTTATCATCTATTATGCTCTGTTCTGTTGTATAGGCCTTGCGAGTTGCCAAGAAATTGAAGTCCCAGACGGTTTCTGGTTATTCCAACGATTCGAATCCATTCGGCGATTCCAATCTCAATGAAAAGTGAGTGGTTTTTCTGTTTTGCGGTTGCTAAAATTGACAAAACTCATTGCTCGGATTGTACTGTTTTACTTAGCACGGTCGCGGCTATAGGCATTTGCAGTCTGATTATAATTCGTTTCCAAATGTGTGTATTATATTCTCTGGAGTAATGGGGAATACTTGGAAGACTGTTAGATAGATGGATTCTGACAAAAAATGCTTGACCAAATTTGTTCATTCCGGTGAATCTAACTCCAGCGCCCCTCTTAATGTAAATAATTACATACTTCGAAGAAGAAGCATTCGTGTTTAGGGCTTTCTTTTAGTGTCTCACCTATTTGCATATAGTTTTAGCTATAAATATCGGGTTTTTGTCAGAGGCTTATGTTAAGATTTCAATATATTGTCAAGTGAATTTATTACTTCTCGGTATTGTTGGTCGATCAATGATTTGATAGCATAGAGAAGTTTAAGGCCAATCACAACAATTTAGTAGTTGATTTTGTTTCTGAGTCGACAACAATCTGGTATGCAGATTTGTATGGCGAAAGAAAATTGAGCGTGATGTTACTCAAGGCGTGTCGCTTGATGCCTTTTCAATGAAGTCCGAGAAAAAAAGACAGAGAGAAAGAATGGTATGTGCTTCTAGTCCAAATGTTATTCATTTTTTTTTTCTTAGCAAAGAAACTAAACTTTCATAAATGTAAGAACAAAAGTAGGCAAGACAAAAAGAAAGTCTTCTGTAGAAGGGAGCCAACAAAACAAAATCCCAACAAAATTACGTTAAGAGAACTGTAGAAAAAGGTTTCGACTGTTGCTTGTTTTTTTGTTTAATAAAAGATTTTTGGGTTGTAACCATATTGTATCTTAGTTTAAGTAGTTTGCTCTAGTACATAAATTACGTAATTACTTAATGTCATCTTATTTGTTTGTCCATGAGAGAGATGCCTCTGATGATTTATCACGTACCACTACTTGTCCCACTATTCATTGGAAGTTGTGGTTGTACTTAGATTCTCATATTTGCAGCCTACTGGGCTATCCACTTAATCTACTACTTGACAATGTCTAATTTAAGGTTAACTAATGTCATAAATTTGCCCCTAATAACAATTCAATTGGCTGTTGGTTTGAAGATAAATCCAGAATTTAATTCTCCCACATTTTGTACCTTAGGTTTAAAACATGTGAACTCCTTTGATCTGATACAAAAATGCTGAAGTCTATGAATTGATGTGTGCAATTGAGCATTACTTGTACATTGCATATTTGTATTTACCATGCAGGCAGAGATTGAAAAGGTGAAGAAAAGGAGGGAGGAAAGGGCTCTTGAAAAAGCACAACATGAGGAAGAAATGGTAATCAGAACATGGCATTGAAAGATGCTTTATTTTAATTTTTAGTTGGGTAGTTATTGTCAGTTCATAACATCTGCAGTATGGTATGTTTTCTTGCATGCCTTAACTTTCTTTTGCTGGTTTAGGCATTGCTAGCTAGAGAACGTGCTCGTGCTGAATTTCAGGATTGGGAGAAAAAGGAAGAAGAGGTAGTATGCTCACTTGTAATTTCATTCCATGTATTCTTTTATGTTTCATATTGCATGGGGTTTTCCATTATTTTCTTGTGACTTTATTGTTAATGATCCCTTGGACAATTACTAAGCGTGAAACTTTTGGCCTCAGTTCCATTTTGATCAAAGCAAAATCAGATCAGAGATAAGAGTTCGTGATGGGCGTTCGAAGCCTATTGATATTCTATCCAAGCAACTGAATGGATCGGATGATTTTGATATAGTAATCAATGAGCCATACACTGTATTCAAGGTAAGAAACTCTCTGGTTATAGTGCTTATAGTTGTTTTAGATGACTTGCGTTTTCTGTTCAGTGTGTCATTCAAGATTCAATTTTTTATAAATTAACTGTGTTCTTCTTAGGTGATGATCTTACAGGCAACCCGTTCTTGTTCTTTGAGCAGGAGCTAAAGAGTTTTTATATCTTTAAGAGTTATGCTCAAAAGATTTCTCTTTTTTTTCAGTTGTTTTTTCGTTTTCTATTTCCTCCATTGTTCTTTTTCAATGGCGATTGTTCTCTTCTGACTTCCAATAAGCGCTATTTAGAAACGGAAATTTCTTGTCATTAAGTGTGCTACTCGTTCTCCTTTTCATTTTAATTCTTTTGGTTGGTCTTAAGTAACTGAAGTATTCATATTTATGGATCGGATTTGTTCTCTATTTTCATTTTTTGTGGTTTATCACTATTAGATTCTAAGTACTGTTTTCACTGACTACAGCATACGATATATGTTCAAAATAGATTCCTCTTATTGGTACTTACATGTATGATCCAGGGCTTGACTGTGAAAGAAATGGAAGAGCTTCGTGATGACATCAAAATGCATCTTGATCTGGACAGGGCGACGCCTACACATATCGAGTATTGGGAGGTGAAAACATTTGCCGACTTTCCTATTTACATTTTGAAAAGCTTTTATGTTGAACTACACGTCTTGATGGACTGTTGACAACTAGTTCTGAACCCTTCCTTTGACAGAGTAACACCTACATATTGAGAGATTGTTCTCTGCATGTCCTATTAGTTATTTGAAATTTTACTCTGAACATTTACTTTGGTATTGTCAATATATAATATAACCTTTGATATTGTTTTGCTCAATATGATCAGCGATATTGATATAGATTTAGTTTGACCAGTCGTTCTCTTAAAATAATTACATGACTAGGGCATTTGGTCTTGTATTTAACAATTTTACAATGAATTATACTTTTTGTAGTCGCCAACTTGATGCCAATTAGGCTATCTGTTGATGTGCTGCTGTTAAGTAATTTAAGGTTGATTGTTTGTTATGCTTAAAGCAGTTTTAATAAGTTAATACTGCTGTCATGAGAGCTAGTAATTGAACCGTGTATTGGGGAGGTTCAGTCCTCACTTTCCTGGTCGTTCAGCTTCTAAGGTGTAGCATCTGTCTCGTAATATGCTAATAAGTTAATACTGCTGTCATGAGAGCTAGTAATTGAACCATGTATTGGGGAGGTTCAGTCCTCACTTTCCTGGTCGTTCAGATTCTAAGGTGTAGCATCTGTCTCCTAATATGCTTAAAGCAGTTTTAATAAGTTAATAATGCTGTCATGAGAGCTAGTAATTGAGCCATGTATTGGGGAGGTTCAGTCCTCACTTTCCTGGTCGTTCAGATTCTAAGGTTTAGCATCTGTCTCCTAAGCTAAGCAAGGTCTTGCTTTGTGCAATTAAACAGGCACTTCTCGTAGTTTGTGATTGGGAACTAGCTGAAGCTCGAAAAAAGGATGCTCTGGATAGAGCCAGAGTTCGTGGTGAGGAGCCTCCTGCTGAGTTGCTTGCAGAAGAAAGGGGTCTGCATTCTAGCATTGAAACAGATGTCAAAAATCTTCTGGAAGGAAAGACTTATGGTGAATTGGAGGCATTACAATCTCAGATTGAGTCACAGATGCGATCTGGAACTGCAAAGGTGGTTGAGTACTGGGAGGCTGTAATAAAGCGCCTTCATATATACAAGGCCAAGGTATTCATTGTTAGAGGTTCTTTTCGTATGCCCTCTTCTCATCTTTTAAAGCTAATGAATTAGGCTCACTATTGCTTTTCATTTGGTAGGCTTGCTTGAAGGAGATTCATACGAAAAAACTGCATGAGCATCTTGTACGCCTTGAGCAGCCTTTCGAGGATGATGAAGAAAAGGTGGACCAGGAAATCGAGATGGAAACTGAACGCTCTTTACAAGTGAAAGCTGAAGAGGAAGAGCTTGATATTAGAGGTATGTTCCAGAGTCTTTATCTTGCAATCTTGAATTTTATGTCCAGAGTCTGATGTATATATATCTCTTCCACACTTCAGCAGCGGAAACATATTCGCCTGATCTCCTTGAGGAAGAAGAGAATGAAGAAGCTGGATCATTTTCACCGGAACTTATTCATGGTGATGAAGATGAACAGGCGATTGATCCTGAGGAGGATAGGGCCATACTGGTATGTCTACAGATATTAAATTCACTATCTATATATTGTAATGAATGTCAAAAGTTAGATTGGTTATGACTTGGTAAATTCAGCAGGAACGTAAACGAATTGCTGTCTTGGAAGAACAGCAGAGACGGATTCAAGAAGCAATGGCCACAAAACCTGCTCCACCAGAGGATAATTTTGAGCTTAAAGCCTCAAAAGCAATGGGAGTCATGGAGGAAGGCGATGCAGTTTTTGGATCTGGTGCTGAAGTGAACCTGGATTCACAGGTGCACTGTCATTATTATCTGTCTGCTCCTTACCTGGATTGTTTATGCTCCTACATTTCCAACGGTGATCTTAGTGTTCGAAAACTTGCAGGTATATTGGTGGCATGACAAATATCGTCCAAGAAAACCGAAATATTTCAATCGGGTTCACACAGGATACGAGTGGAACAAATACAACCAGACTCACTATGATCATGACAATCCACCTCCAAAGATTGTCCAAGGATATAAGTTTAACATCTTCTATCCAGACCTTGTTGACAAGACAAAAGCTCCAACTTACACCATTGAAAAGGATGGAAACAGCAGCGAGACATGTATCATAAGGTTCCACGCGGGGCCACCGTATGAGGATATTGTAAGTCTTCTTTTGATCTGCAATTGATTTCTTTGCCATTTGGTTTATTTCATATATCTATATTTAACTGTCATTTTCTTTTATCTCATTATAGGCGTTTCGAATTGTAAACAAAGAATGGGAGTACTCTCATAAGAAGGGGTTTAAGTGCACATTTGAGCGTGGTATTTTGCACGTATACTTCAACTTTAAGCGATATCGTTATCGCAGGTAACACAATGCTAGTCATAGCACGTGTTCTTTGTGTTGGCGCATGTTGCTCAGTTACTATCTCCTTCGAGGTCTTGGTTGTAACTTCACCAACTAGATTGAAAGCATCCATCGCAAAGTCTTCCTTGTAAGTTAAATGATATGACCAATAATAGATATTCCAACTTCCCTTCCTTGAGTCATTCATTTATCACTTCCAAATGCCAATATGGCAATACACAAATAGTTAGATCCTGAAAATTTTGAAACTATTGCTTCCAGCATTCCTTTTACCTCCTAGCTGTCAGGTTTGATTCTCCACTTTCTCCTCTTTTTCTACTGCTGTTTTAGCCTTATATGCATACATACACATTGATGTGGTGGTAATTGAGTAAGTGCTAGACATTATGGCGTGTGGTTTGGTCGAGTGACGAGTGATCGATTGGGGTCATGTAAATTATAAAAAGTCTTCAAAGAGAATGAGTTCAACTCCTGGTGACACGAGCATAGGGTTGATATGTAAGCTGGTTCGGTCACGAATATTAGAAAATCGAACTATTTGGTTTTGGAAAGATTAGGAAAGACCATCCATTTGCCCATTTTAAATTCTTATTCCCACTTTCTTTTTATTTAGTTGATGTTGTAGCCATCATAACTTAAAGCTATCATATTGGTGTGGACTAATCCCATTCATAAAAAAGTGGGTTATTCTATGGCCATGACAAGCCAAACATCTGGATGCTTATTGTTTTTCCCTTTCCTTTTTCTGAAATGGTAGGTTTTCCAAAACACCTTGAAATAACACCTCTTTTTATCATTACTATATTTAACATTACCTTTCCTTTTTTTAAGAATGAGAATCAAGTTTACCTTTGATAAAATTAACAATAGAATTTAATTGTGACGGTGTTTGATCACTTGAAAAGAAGTGGTTTTAATGATAAATATTGAACAATATTTTAGCAACAGAAATTTGATATGCAAAATTTCAATAAAGCCAACAAATTTGAATTAGAATGGTGCTATTCAATTGGTTTTTAGTAACATTATTTAGAAACAACTTTTGCATCCAACTAAGTATTATGGAGTATCTCCCTTGGTCATTTGTTTTGATACCTTAAAATGGTCTTCTGGTTCTTAGAATCCATTTGATACATTATATCTTTGTAGCAAAAAAAGAGCGGTTCATTCTTTTACGGACTAATCAATCTGGCGAAAAAATTGAGAGAAGAAGTAATTTTAGAGACAAAACCTATGATTTATTACAATCACAGCTACAATTTTACGGTACAATACAGCTGGTTATGGCATATATTCTAAACTGTAAGGTAAGATATTCAAATCTCTTATCGTTGAACCAAAAAAATAAATATGGAAAAGATAGAAATTATGCTATTGAATGAATACTCGACCACTGGTTGAGTTTGTTTTTAGCTATCCATCTTCACTATCATAGATTCCTCATCAAAATCATTCTGTTCTTCGTTTTGAATACTTTGTCCAAAAAGTAGGCATCTGATCCCAATTGTGTATTTTCTTTCATTTTCTACCATCCCAGAATCCATTATTGCCATCTCCCTCTCCGGTGTTTCACCGAATCATTCCCCACCTCTTTTCTAATATGAATATTCAAGCATTACACCAAAGTTTAACACCAAATCTACTACTCTTAAACTTCTAACCCTTTGTAAGATTGCCCTTCTTCTTCTTCTTCACCAACTGTTTCTGGACTCTCCAATATCTGAGCTATGTACTCAAGTTCTTGGACTACATCCTTCATGGAAGGCCTTTCCGATTTCTTCTCCCTCAAACACGTGAGTGCGAGCTCCAACAAGTGCTTCACACTAATCAGTGTATTGCTCGTTGGATCGTCACTCAGAAGCTGTTTATCGACAGTGTCGATGAACGCACCGTTGTGCACTCGTTGGATCACATACACTGCTAGATTGACACTATCTTCATCTCTCGTGAAATCTATGGCCTTCTGAGAGGTTAAAAGCTCGAGCAGGACAACTCCGAAACTATACACATCACTTTTATCTGTTAACTGGTAATTCTGATAGTATTCTGGGTCTAGGTAACCTAATGTACCCTGAGCACAAGTCGAAACATGGCTTATTCCTGGCAAAGCCAATCTTGAAAGTCCAAAATCTGCAACTTTGGCATTGAAGTTATCATCCAAGAGTATATTTGTTGACTTGACATCTCTATGATAGATGGGAGGGTATGCAGCTGAATGAAGGTAAGCTAATGCTTCAGCAGTTTGTGAAGCAACTTTTAGCCTTTTTCTCCAGTCCAAGAAAGTGGGAAACTTACCATGTAAATGGTCATGGAGGGTGCCATTGGAAATGTATTCATATATCATTAATGGTTGCTCTGTTTCTACACAGCAACCTATAAGTTTCACAAGATTCTTGTGGTTTACTTGAGACAGTATTCCGACTTCGTTGAGTATCTGCTCGGTACTCTTTAGATTGCCCACTTTAGCTGACTTCACGGCGACAACGGTCCGGTCTTGAAGTTCACCTTTGTAAACCTCTCCGAAGCCACCGCATCCTAGGACCCTATCTTTCGAAAACTTATTCGTTGCTTTCTTCATCTCTTTCAGATGAAACATTCTGGCTGGTCTGCCCCCATTTCTAAAATTCAACATATCTTCTCTTTCTTTACACAGCTTTTCCTGCTTACTGAATGTTCTCGACTTCCTGATAGTAATTAGAGCGATAATCGCAGCTAGAACGAAAAATGAAACAAGACATACCAGGAGCTTTATACTCAGTCCAACCATGCTCTTCCTATTTGTTCTCAGGCATGTTCCGAGGATATGATCCCAATGGTAGCTCGTTCTACAAAGGCAACGAGATCGGCTGTTGGAACTGCCAGTAGGACGACAATCCGACGCTCCAGTGCAATCGGATTGAGTTCTACAGATTGGTTCAGGTGGGGCAGCCCATTGAATTTCCAAACCTTCCTCCCATTGATTTGCAGGCTTTTCTACATCTAGATGAAGGATGCTCCTGAATGCTCTACAGCCTGAGTTATGAAGTCTTATCTTATACGCTGAGGGCATCCCACCAGCGATGAAGGTACAACAAGGGTCAAGAACACTAGCACACTGAAATGCTCGTTTTCCATCAACACGTCCTGAACGTTCCAAGTAGTGATGACAGATACTAGATGGAGTACAATTGAGTGGTGAGACGAGCAGTCGAGGAGAACAGTTCAAAAGGAAAATTGTATTGGATGAAGTGATGTTAAAAGGGAGTGATTGGTTTAACCACAGGCCTTCACTGACCAACATGTCTTGAGTAACACAGGAGTCAGGAACCCACGGAGATGGTTGGATCACCAAACGTTGACTCGAACCATTGATTTTCAGGACTGGATACGAACTTCCATTGAGTGCATCAAAGTAGAGTCTCTGTGAATGAGAATCACAGCGGAGAGTATAGTCTAAGTCACCACAGTTTGAATTGGTACTAAGAGGATAAGGAACATCAATGGAGCCGCAGCTCGGGCACGTTTTCTGCGAATAGCAGCAGAGACTAAAGAACAGAAGAAAGAAAAGGTAGCTTCCAAACAAGCATGGTGTTGGGATCTTCATAGTTACCATGTCTCAAAGAACCAATGAGGAAGAGCTGATTTATGGAACAATTGGGTCGAGGGCGGCATAAGTAGACGACAGCACTAGAGAATAAAGTAGGACGACATGAACATGGAAAAGGTAGAAGAAAGAATCTGTGGTAGATGTTTTGGCTTTATATAGAAGTGGATTCCTCTTGAATGGTCACAAAAAAGGAGGTTTTTCTAGATGCATTGCCCCCATATGGCAAGCTTCTTCCAGATATGGCTTCCAATCCCTTGAAAACACTCATATCTTCTTCATTTTTTTAATAACACTCCGCAACAAATCATAACAATGAAGAACACCAGACAGTTCATAATATTAAACAAGGCAATCCATACTATAATGGAACCTGCACTACCAGCTCAGTTGCTTTCCATAAAGTACAAGTGATATTCATAAGACAGGAGAATGAATTTAAACATTAAACAACATGGCAATGGGCATATCTTTCTGGAAAAAAAAGGACTAAGAACAGGAAACTTTTCCCTTCTGCACCAGTTTTTGTACTTTCAATCTTTGCTAATCCAAATCACTGAGATATAGAGCTGATTCAGGCCAGAATAGTTCTTTTTATTAACCTTCAACTATTTTTACTGGAGTCCTACACTCAGGAAAAGGAGTAAAACTAATCATGGTAGAAAAGAAAATCCACTAAAATAGTGAAGAATATCAAGAACCACTACTTACCCAAATGGGCTTTGTTTGATGGATAGCAATTCCACATCCAACTACAGATCCAAAGATGAATAGAACAGTAAATACATATAGTTGAGCAGTAAGTAAACAAAAAGGTAAAAAATGTTCTTGTTGTTTATTTTCCCTTTTCTATAAGGTAAAGTTATGTTAATAATGATGTCTTCCACCATTGAAACAAGAATGAACTAAATTTTCTATCGAGCCATGCTACTGATGAACGAATAGATCGCTAGAAGGTAAAGAAACGTTACCTCGATTGTTGCGTTTGGAGGGATTTCCTGAACGCCTTTGCTTCCATAAGCTAACTCAGGAGGGACTATAAGCAATCTCTGTGAAAACCAGAATTGAAAAGAAATAGGCTTTTGTAATGAGTGAAGTTTAATCAGTACTGAAATAGTGTCTCACCTGACCTCCAACCCTCATGCCTTGAACACCTAAATCCAATCCCTTGAGAACTGATCCTCTTTCTGATTGGCCTACATCAAATCCATAAGGCTGCAGCAATTCAAGTGTTGAGTGCTTTTACTGATCAAAAGGGTGAGCTTAGAAAACGACTATAAGCTAGTTTGGTCGATTTTACCGTTCCTCCACCAACACCAAGCCCTTGTCTACTGGTCATAAATGTGATCCCTCTCCATTTAGCCACATAGTGAACCTACAAAATGACGCTATAGTTTTAGTTATGCGTTGAATCCCCACGAAATTGGACATTGGTTGATCTACTTAGAACACACACTAAAATTTGGATCAAATAGGACACTTTTTAAGTATGCAAGTTTGAGATATAATACAAATGGTTGAATATCATTCATACTTTTTCCCGTAGACTTTTCTCGAGAATTTCAGGGCAGAGAACAACTTTTTCATTCCGTTTTGTGGCCATAGTTGTAAAGGAAAACGAGAGTTGGATCAACAGTGGTTAAGTATTCGATTTGGCGAATTTGGTTTGAAAGAAACAGGATTTCAAGAACAAAAGTACCCTTTGGAGGAAAGATTTGATCATATCAAGGATCATGAAGCTTGGAGTGCTTTGTCCAGTTTTTGGAAGCTATCTATTTTCTTAGATTAGTTCTTGTCGATGTATTAGCCATTCTGTTTCTTGTGGGAAAAAGGGTATAAAATCTTTGTTAGTTGAATATAAAAATACAGCCAGCTCACAACCGTACTGCAACGCGCGATCCAATCACGGCCTTAGTTCCTCCTCCAACCTTCAAATCATAGTACCTGAAGGATACATTTCTTTCTGAGTTTCAGCATATGTTGCAGAAAAACAAGACCACTACCAACCCCAGCTTGGAATTAATAGGGTCGAGATACGAACATTTAATGAGAACGATAATCTCCAACTGAAAATGTTATGCCAAGAGATAAGAGACAATAAAGAACTACAAAAAGAGAAGAGGAAGAGAAGAACAGTATTAAAAAAGAAGAACATGTTCTAAAAATAGTAATGGAACTTACTTCAGACCATTTGGGAGAGTTGTAAACTCACTTTCAGGTACTTTTGCCCCTCTTAGCTGAAAAAATAGAAGCTTTTCATACACTTCTACATTTGTTATATTCGTTGTGAATCAACAAGGGTGGAAAGAAACTTACAGCCCTTCGACTTGTGCTAACAGCATGGGCTACACTGCAGAAATATAAACCCGCAGCTGAAACAAAAGTTGAATTCTCAAAGAAAAACATTAGGAATTTACACATGAATGATGCAAGAATCTGAAAATGTGTGTGGAGCTTATCAGCTGGCGAGGAAACGAATGGATGATAATAGGTGCAATTCAATAACAAGGAGCCCCAAACGAACCATATGCAAATCAATCAATCATCTTTAGTGCAATGTAAGAGTAGATTTGTAATCACCCAAGTCTACGACTAGTAGATATTGTTCTCTTTGAGCTTTCCCTTCTGGGCTTCCCCTCAAAGTTTTGTAACGCGTCTACTAGGGAGAAGTTTCCACACGCTTATAAGGAATGCTTTGTTCTCCTCTTCAGCCAACGTGGGATCTCACAATCCACCCCCCTTGGGGGCCAGCGTCCTCGTTGGGGCTCTAATACCATTTGTAACAACCCAAGCTCACTGCTTGCAGATATGGTCCTCTTTAGGCTTTCCCTTTTGGGCTTCCCCTCAAAGTTTTAAAACGTGTCTGTTAGGGAAAGGTTTCCACGCTCTTCCAAGACATATTTTGTTCCCCTCTCTAACCAACGTGAGATCTTACAAGATTCTACTCTACCATGACAGTTTTCATGATTAATGAAGCATATCATTCAAAATGTCTAGACTCTTTTATACCGAGTTTGAATCAAATAGTAAGACAAAACAAATCACCCTCGGTTGACATAGTGGTCAATGAGGGCCAATGTATGCCATAAAAAACTTAAGAAGAGGGAATGAGTTCATATCATAGCGGCTACAAGATTTAATATTGTACTAGTTTCATGGCAACTAATTGTAGTAGGGATAGACGGGTTGCCCATGAAAATAGTGGAGATACACACAAGTTGACTTGGACACTAATGATGTAACAGTCCAAGCCCACCGCTAACAGATATTGTCCGCTTTGGGTACGTATCGTCGTCAGTCTCACGGTTTTAGAACACGTTTGTTAAGGAGAGGTTCTATAGATACAATACTTCCCTTACGAGATTTTGAGAAGAGTTACTCTTTTCGAGGGTAAGAAGTTGTAGGCTATGTTCGGGGGACTAATCGTCTATCGTTAGCCAACCACAGACCTCAAAGGCCATGTGGATGAGACATTGAGGCATCTCATTTCTAGCCGTCCCTCAATCAGAACCAACTACCTAAACTAAACACATACCATCTTCAAAGAGACATGTAAAGGCTAAATTTGGCTCCAATTTACAACATCACAGAAGGCAGCAGCAACAAGAACATTTCGTGCATTCAACAATATCAAACAATAATCTACAAATTCACAAGACAATACACCAAAAACTTATAGAGATACCCGTCGACAGGAAACCACCAATCAATGCCCTTCTTCCCTCACACCGCAGCGATTCTTTGGCTTGTTCTGAAGGTCCGCCATGAGAGGACGATAATGAACATCGACAAGGGAAAAGAGATGGCCGTCTCTTCCCTGCAGATTCAAAGATATTAACTCATTCTGAAAGAAACCCATGAAAAGAACACACAAGAAATAGAGAAAGAGAGGGAAAAAGAGACCGATAATGGGAAAAGGGGTAAGGGGTTTGTAGAAAATGGTGGGATTTTGCTTGTATGATGGAAGAAGGAAGAGCTCCATTGTATCGATTAATGAGAGTTATGAAATGGGATTCATGGATATTAGTTCATAAAGGTTCTTCGGAAGCTTTCTGTTGAGAGAAAAAGGAAGATATCTCTACAATCTCATCCACAATTTCAGGTGGCCCAGATCATACTCTGCCACATTTTATATTACCCACAATCCAAAATTTGTTTTTTCCTTTAACTAATTAATTTCATTCAAATACTTAACTATCTCACGGTCTCATCTTATAATACTTCAGGTGCTAATGAAATTATTTTAGTGAAATTTAACTGTCTCAATTCTCGGGCTATCTTATGGATTTATTTCTCTGAATTATAAAAAATATTGAACTTTCCTCGATAATTTAATTTAATAGTAGTCATCCAATTTAATTTATTAGCTGTTCTAGATCTCGTTTTTTTTATTATATTTTATCAAGAGAAAAAAAAACATGTTTTTTAAGAGAGTACTCCACACAAAACTACAAATCATATGAACAAGAGCTAATTTAGAGGTTCTTATTGTGGTCTAATTTTTTTCTTCATCTTTGGATTCATTTCACTACTCCCAGAATCGCTTATCCTTCGAAGAAGCCTTGGCCTTGTACTTTTAGTTTTATCAGGAGAAGATTCCTTTTGAGCCAAATCCTTATGATTTTCTTTCTGTTCTTGTTGTTCTTGTTGTTCTTGTTCATGGTTTCCAATCGAAAGCTTGTTGACATCCTCCGTGAGCTTTGGTCTTGTAGTTTTATCAGGAGACGATTCCTTTTGATCCAAATCCTTATGGTTTTCTTTCTGTTCTTGCTGTTCTTGTTCATGGTTTCCAATTGAAAGCTTGCTAACATCCTTCATTGTCACTTCTTTTTCTTCTTCAATCTGCCAAACAAGAGAGCATTCGATTTAGCCAAATACCCGGTTAACGTATCGTCAAAGTTCTACATTGATTAGGGTCAAAAATATCACGCTCGTGAGCTACTAAAAAACGAACCATTATCTATGTCAAAATAAGATCGTTTAGATCGACAAAATGAGCATAGTTCAATCGTAATCAATATCTAATAAAAATTAAACACGATTAAGAAGAAGACGACCTTAAATGATGATGAAGAAGATGAAGCATTGTTCTCCATTTGGATTTTGAGGTCTCTTAGTTCATTCCTCAATTTCTCAATCATCCTCTTCTTCCTTTCCATTTCTTCATTGTTTCTCCAAAACTCTGTTCTACTCTCTTCAATCTTCAAATTCTTCTCTCTTATCATCTTTGATTGTTCCTTCAATCTCTTCTTCACTTTCTTTACTTCTCTCCCAAGTAACCTGTTCTCTGGTTTTTGGCCTTCAAACTTCTCTGAAACTCCCAAATATTCAGTCACCAAACTCTCAAACCTTTTGTTTTCTTCTTCCATTAGCAAAATCTCCTTCTCCAAGAACCTGATATGAGCCATGTCCAAAACCAATGTGTTCTTCAACTCCATCAGCAAAGCTTCCTTCTCTTTCAAATTTTGGTACCAAATGAACTGCTTCTCTATGCCCAATTCCTTTCTTTCAAGATCTTCAACTCTGTTTTTTAAGCCTAAAAAAACTTCCTCAATATTGGGTGAAGTTTCTTTTTGCTTCAAAGGAAGTGGAGCTGAGTGATTTTGGCTGTCAAAGTTCTCATTCTTTATGAGTTTTGATATGCGTTTGAGTGGATTTAAGGAGGGAAATGAACTTCTTGCCATCATTATGCCACAACATACTCCACCAGCTGCTGATAGAGCCAGAGGAATGCCAATTTTCAAGAGGGTCGGCTCCAAATTCTCGGGTTTTGAAGTTGTATTCATCATTAGAGATTCGGTTCGGTTCAGTTCAGTTTGATGTCTCTTTGTAATAGTCCGATTGTAGGCCAGAGAGACTCAAACTCCAACACCGTTGCTCGTATTATAGACTGCACGTTGTCTCGGCTCGATTTGTGGTTTGAAAATGGATGAAGAGTTGAGGCTACTTAGATAGGTTTCTTTGATCAAAATGGTGTTAAGATTCTTTACCAATCCGTTAAAAGTGGGTAATCCTTTGCTTTTTTACGACTCCATGGCTTCTAAGCTTTACTCTAAGGCTTTGGGAATTACTTTGAGTTCAATCAATCCATGTTGGTTTTAGTGGGACGAAACAAATTTGGTGTTATTCTATTCTTATAATTTAAACTTAGCATAATCTTTTAACAGAGGTGGAACTGAGCAAAGGTTTTTGATTCATTTGTCGATTTAATGCTTCTAAGTAACTCTTCCAACAATGGTATTTCTATTATATATTATTTCAAATGAAGTTTACGTGTAAAAATTATTGGGTCCATTTCTCTCACGTTTACTTGTATAATAACATGTGCTTTTGTTAGTACCAAATAAAGTATTCTACTTTCACGTATACTAAGAAATGTGCGCTACACTAAATAAAGTAGTTTTTCTCAACAAAGTATTATTTTTTCTAACCGTTAAACAATATCATGTTTGTTCGTCTAACTACAATTTAAATGGTTAATACCATTCATTCCCGTAGAGTCGAAAGTTCAAAACTCATATTTCTCCCTAAGAGAAACAGATAAAAAAAAAACTTATAAGGTATTACAACACAAAATGAGAGCTAAAAATAGAAACACTTTGAGAAACGAGTTATGTATTTATAATGCGTAAAGAACACTCAACTTGAACATAGTTCAGCCGATTGAGACATGTCTTCGACCTAGAAGTTCGAACCCTCGCCAATTCTATATTGAACTAAAAAAATATGTAAAAGAAACAAAATGGAGAGAGAGTGAGAGAGAGAGGAGGTTGCAGAGCTTAGAGGATAGTAGATTGTAATAAAAAAACATCACCTGAAGTTTGTCATGGATAAATCTAATCTCATACGTTGTTTCTACAAAAGCTGTCAAGAATAGCTCAAAATGGAGGCTGATCTTCAATACTTTAGAAAAACAAAAACAACCCCAAACCAGACCATAAGTCAATCATTTAGGAATTAACAGTTCCATAGAAATTAATATCTTATTCTATCAAACGTTTCCTTCCAACAGGGTGAAACTGTGGCGTGGCCTGAGATGGATGAGATCAAAGAACAAACCAGCGGCCTTTGATGTGCCACAGACCTGTAAATAAGAACAATTATTACCCACATTTTATGCACCGACTAATAATTAGATGCAGCTTTGGACCAACCAGCTGCCAGCCTGCGAAGAGTGAGGTAAGGAAGGCTCAATAAGCATAATTAATGATTTAAGTTCCAAATCTCAGGTTCTTTGAAAGGACCAAAATTGGTGGGAGGATATTGATACATATTGAACATTCATATCCGTCCGGAAAAAATTTCTACTCCCATAATAGCTACTATCACTAGTCATATCATACTTGAACGTGTCATAATTAAATGTTTCTGAATGGTAGTAGTATGGAAGTACCAAAACTTCTTTCCCTATAACACCGTACTGAAAAGCTAAATTTTCAATTTGTTCAAGATTTACTGAGCAGCTCAAAGCACAAAGAAGGCTCAAATCCCAGTTAGGAAAGAATGGTACTACGTACCTGAGGTCAGATAATTCAAGAAAGTTCAAATCCGGAGTTGGAATTGATCGCATAGAGAAGTTTTGATCTCAAGGTGCTCGAACGTTTATATGTAGGGAGCTGCATGCAAAAAATATAGAAACGAAAGGCACAGATAATTAGCAGTTGAAAAACAGAGGAATTTAGAACATCATTAATGACTAATCTACATTTGCATTACTAATGGCTGTCTTGTCAATAATGAGGTCTCTTTTTTTAAATAAAACTGATACTTGCTTCATTTTTCGTACCTTGAGAGTATTATAGCAAGTGGAAGCTGTCGGAAGGCGCTCGACATCCTGTCCTCCTAGTGAAGCCCATATCGGTACGTCACATGAGACCTACATCAGGTTAATTTCCATATCAGACTTTACAATGAATAACATTTTCAATGCACTCCAAGCAGCTCATTTAAAGTTGAACAAGGCGCATACAGATATTTTGAACTGTTGTTGGCAGTTAATTTATTGATCAGAAGACCCTGACTCTGGGATTTAAACTGGTGAATAAAAGGCCTCTAAAGTACGAACAAAAGAAATGTAACTGGAAACTTAAGATTGAATGCACACCTTATGAATGGTAAAAGCTGGTTGCAGGTACTTGAATCCAAGTAATGGAGCTCGAGAACAACTAGTGACAAATTTAAGAAGCAAACAACGATCTTTTGGTTCAAACCCCTTAATAACCTGCACATTCCCCCAACCCCCGCAGAAAAATTAACAAAATTAAAAATTATTAAAAAAAAAGAGGGGGGGGGGGNGGGGGGGGGGGGGGGGGGGGGTGAAAAGCTGGGGAGTTCCAACAGTATACATCACAAGGCCCAAGCATGATTCATACAGATTGCCCAATAACATGAGCTTGAAAGGAGGAAGGGGGGGAGACAGAGAGAGAGCGAGAGAGAGAAGGAATATTATTTGTATGAAATATGGCCATGTAAGTATCTCTTTAGTTCTAAAATAAGTCACGCCCATCAACCAGAACAGAGTTACATAAGCACAAGGAACTTTATCGCAACTTGCCTAGTTTTAAGAATTTTTTTTCCCAAAGGAATCAAATCAGTTGGAAATAATATGAAAAGTTGGATATTAGACTGATACCAAAACAATGCGGATTAATCACTACAAAGTTTATACCTCCCAGAAAATACTAATAGTTCGGCTGCCCTCTGTGTAACCACCTGTATATCGTGTATTATTCCTCAAATCATCAACGTCAATGTCGTGGTTTCCACCGGAAAGCAACTACAGAATGGAATTTATATTAGGGAAAAAAAATTTAACAAAACAAAAATGAGGAAAAAAATTGCATTTAACCATAGTAAAGATAAGAATGCGGATGTTCACAAATTTAAACCATTTAAAAATTATATAGTTCTACTACCAGTTCCACCCATATGAAATCCTCTGAGGTATTCTAAGAACCAGCAAGTTGTAAAGAACTGGTTAGTGCGAGTATACAAAACAATGGAAACTTATTTGAACCTCTTTCACCCACCTTATCCAATTATTATACTTTTTGCCATCTTGCGTAATAATCAATTTGGTTGCATATTCAGCACATATATTATTGTCCATAAAATTATATAGTTCTAA